TTGCAGCAATCATACTGGGCATGTCGTCAAGCTGGACCTCCACAATCCGCCTCCTTTATCTTATGTTGGTGGCGAGGCATACAACAACTGGACCTTAGGAGGTGAGTTGAGGCCTTCTTTACTTGGTCTGAAGCACCTAAAGTACCTGGACCTAAGCATGAACAATTTTGGAGGCATTAGTATTCCAGAATTCATGGGGTCATTCCATAATCTCCAATATCTTATCCTCTCCAGTGCTGGATTGGGTGGACTCCTACCTCACCAGCTGGGAAATCTCTCCAATCTGCAGTATCTAGACTTATACAATGACATTTTTGTGGCTCCGGTCCATGAATTTAGCATTGGTGATGCACTCTGGATTTCTCACCTTTCTTCTCTAAAGCATCTCAACCTGAACAGTGTTAACTTTCAAAATGGTACTCACTGGCTGGAAGCTCTGAACATGCTTCCTTCTATTGTGGAGATATACTTATCTGACTGTGCAATTCAAAGTGTTCCCCTCTCTCTTCCACATGTGAACTTTACATCACTGTCTGTTCTTGATTTGTCGGATAATCTCATTAACTCTACGATGCCCTCTTGGTTATCCAACATAAGTGGCCTTGAGCACCTTGATCTCAGTTACAACAACCTTCAGGGTAATATTCCACCGACCTTTGGTAACTTGGCTTCCCTCGAGGAACTTAATTTTAATAACAATTCTCTTCAAGGAGGAATACCCACTTCCTTCAAAAATCTGTGCAGGCTGCAGAATTTAATATTGAGAGCCATCAATATCAGCAAAGATTTGTTAGAACTCGATGAAATTTTCTCTGGTTGCATCAAGATGAGCTTAGAGAGCCTGGACTTATCCGAAACGAATATTCGTGGGCAGCTGCCTGAATGGTTATTCCAACTCAGGAAGCTTAAATCACTCCAGTTGGAGCAGAATCTGATTTCTGGTCCTATTCCTGTATCAATTGGACAACTAGCATCACTCCAAGAGCTCTATCTTGGGGTAAATCAGTTGAACGAAACAATACCAGAAAGTGTCTGGTGGCTATCTCAGCTAGTCGTTTTGGACCTTGGGCACAACAATTTGGAGGGTGTAATGTCTGAGGCGCATTTTGGAAACCTCACAGAATTGAAATACTTAATTTTGTCGTCCAACTCCTTGGCTCTGAAGGTCAAGAGCAATTGGATTCCTCCCTTCCTGCTTGAATTCCTTTGGATGGGCTCTTGCAAACTGGGTCCTGAGTTCCCTGCATGGCTCCAGTCGCAAATAAATATTTTCGAAATTGATATGTCTAATGCTAGTATTATTGATGCTATGCCAAACTGGTTTTGGAGCTTAATTTCCACAGCAGGATCCGTGAGTATCTCCGGCAATCAGATCAGTGGCCACGTACCAAATTTATTGCATTTAAACAACCTCATCGAGTTGGATTTAAGTTCAAACTACTTCGAGGGTCCTCTTCCGTATTTTCCTCCTGGATTGGAATTATTAGATCTGTCAAATAATTCATTCTCGGGAACAATTTCACTTGACATCATCATGAATATGCCTGACCTCCTATATTTATCATTTTCAGAAAACAATTTAAGTGGTGAAATTCCCTTCTCTGTATGCCAACTGCAGGCCTTATGGGTTCTTGATCTTTCAAAAAATATGTTGTCAGGAGAGATCCCCAATTGTTGGAATAATTCTTCCAGTATCAAAGATATGGATTTTTCAAGCAACAACATATCTGGAGTTATTCCAGAGACCATATGTTCCATAGAATCGCTTCTGTCATTGCACTTGGGCAGTAATAGTTTATCTGGAGAGTTGCCTTTGTCATTGAAAGGTTGTACGAAATTAGTCCTTCTTGATGCTGGACATAATGATTTGAAAGGTGAAATTCCAACTTGGATTGGTGAAAGTTTAACTAGTCTGAGGTTCCTCAATCTACGATCAAATATGTTGGACGGAGATATTCCTCCAAATCTTTCAAAATTAAGTGCTCTCCAATTTATCGACCTTGCAGATAATAAGCTGTCGGGAAGTATTCCAAGGAGCTTTGGAAATTTTACTGCCATGAAAGTTAATGGAAAGTTTTCAAGTAGGATGACAGATGCAACAAGTTACAAGGAGCAGATGCTAGTAACAACTAAAGGACAAACTCAAGACTATAAGAAGTCACTTTCGCTTATGAATATTTTGGACCTCTCGGATAATAACTTATTTGGAGAAGTACTCGAAGAACTCACAAGTCTTTCTGGCTTATTCAGTTTAAATTTATCTGGAAATTATTTCACAGGAGAAATCATTGAAAATATCAGTAAATTACAACAGTTGGAGTCCCTTGACTTGTCAAGGAACAACTTTTCTGGCACAATTCCTTCTGGCCTCGCTGCCCTGACTTATTTGGCTCACTTGAACCTGTCATACAACAACTTATCAGGGGAAATTCCTCTTGGTAATCAACTTCTGACCTTCACTGATCCATCTATCTATACTGGCAATCCTGGTCTTTGTGGGTTTCCTCTGAATCAAAGTTGCAAAGACAGTGAGACAACACAAGGTCAAAGTAATCCAGATGATAGAGATGAGAACGAGATGATATGGTTCTACACGAGCATGGCACCAGGATTTGTTGTTGGTTTCTGGGCAGTCTGGGGTACCTTAATACTTAACAAGAATTGGAACCTTTACTACTTCCGATTTATAGACAACATGCTTGACAAAGTATATGTGTTTACCGTACTGAAAGTTTCTAGGATCAGAAAACGTTGTTGTTCTGAACAAGGATGATAAATTTGAACATCAATATCTGCTGTATGAGAGTTCATCTCATTAGTATCATATCATCAGCTTGAATAAAATTTAATACTTCTGGACTTGTATACAAGTAAGTCATGCACTCTCAATTTTGATCATTTCTGTCAAGATCTCAGTACCATATGAAGTGTTCTAATTTTGGGGATTGCCAAAAAGCTTGCACCTTTTAATTTGTTTTTCCAAAATAGACACCCCTTTTTTAGTTGTTCAGTTTGGCAGAAATGAAAGAAGGTTAAAACTTTTATGAAGATATAGATAGAATTTATGGTATTATTTTCTTTCCTTTTCTTTTGATGTCCAAATCAGATGTTAAAAAGATCCTCTTTTTTTTTTTTCTCAGTTATATAATATCTGCTTTCATCCTCTATTTTCCCAAGTTTATGGTATCTACTTTCATCAAATGCATTTGCATGTCTTCTTCTTCCCAAGCATTACACGTCAAAACTGACACAATTGCAATCACAAGCTCTGCTGTAAAAGATTTGGCCATCTTATTCGATTAATTTGACTCTTAATGAACTTATGCATAGGTGTTTTAGATCATACATTACTCTTGTTTATGATCTACTCATGTAATGCTCCTCTTGTTTGAGATTCTTGTCTTAATCAATCAAATACAAATTGGATGCATCATAAGCTCAAGTCCACCAGATGTGCAGCTGCATGATCTTCTTGGATCTCATGCTCAGATCTTTTCAGTTGATGAGTCTCCCATTAATGGGGGAATTGCTGCTGCAGCTGATGGAATTGGGTCGAAGAGGCTCTCACATGCATGTCAATGTGACAAGGATGATCTGTGCACGCAAGAATGATCCATTTATGGCCACCTTCAAAATTCATGTGAGATGTCATATGCTTTGTTGTTGTTTTTGCTATTGTGGAAAAGGTATGGCATAAGAAGACTGTTAATATGGTTTTGAGTGTCAACAGTCGTCTTTTCTTTCATTTTGGTGTTGTTTTGTGAACGATCAGCGCCAATCAAAGGCCAAGTTCAAATGGGGCCCCTCTTTTTGCTGTTTGCATTACCCAATAAAGAAAAACCCCAAGAGAAAAGCGTCAATCATACGCAGCACGCAATTACCAAAGCCGTGTCCTCTGCATATTCTGTCCCTTTTCTGCCGCTGCTGCTCGTTTTCTCTTCCGCGTCGCTGCTTCGCCTTTTCTAGATCTCCGGATTCGCGCCTGATATGTCTTCCTCCAAGCCCGCCGGATCCATCCATGACTTCACCGTCAGGTTGGTGGCCCACGGGGTTTATGTTTTCTATCGTCATCGTGTGCTCCGTTTCCTTGTCTTTTTAGTGTGCTGATGGTGGCTCCTTTCAAGATCCATTTTTTAGACTGAGTCGGCTGTTCGATTTGGAGGATTGCTCGAAAGATGGGATTTTGACAATGAATTGGTTGTTTTTATCGTTGGTTTTGTTTTAATTTGTCATCCGGAGTCGTCAAGGAGGTTTATTTTTGAAGATCCACTGCCCTGTAGTTTTGAATTTCTTGTGATTAGGTCTTTCTTTTTTATTGTTCTTGGTTCTAGGGATGGATCGAGTTTACCGTCGTGGTCGATTTTTTGGAACATGTTTAATCTTTTGTGATTATATGCAACTTGATGTAGTTTTTGATGGTCAATGGTTTCTTGCTCGGAACGAATTCTTGAAGCTAATGAAGTGTATTTTCCTTCATCGTTCTCGACTTAATCCTTTGTTTTCTGTCAAGTCAAATGAGATGGACAGATCAATTAGCCCCCAGATTGGACAACTATCATCATATTGTATCTGCTGATGGTGCTGATGCCTCGAGTGTAAGGAGTTTTTGTTGTTTGTGGGGGAAGAAAACTTTTTCTCTGCGAGTGTGGGTCGTGATGATAGATGATGATGATGATCATGTGTTGTATGGCTTCCGATGCAGGATGCCACGGGAAATGATGTGGATCTTAGCATTTACAAAGGGAAGGTCTTGCTGATTGTCAATGTTGCATCTCAATGGTACTGCAGCTCTATTAAGTTTGCTTCTGTTCTTCGAGTTACAGATTAACATATGTTAGAAGGTTATGATTGTCTGAGATTGTTACAATTTCTCAACATTGTTCACTTTCTTAAAATTTAAAATATATTGATAATGTATCTGTCATTGTTCTTATCTACTTGCTTGAGATTTCAACTCTGACCTCATGATATCGTGGTGCTGTTAACTTCTCAAAAGAAAAAGAAAAATAAAAATGAGTTCCAGTGTAAAGAAAATCCTCCTGTAGAAGATGATGCTAATGCAACTTGCATTTACATTTGAAAAGATGAGATGAATCTCCTGATACTGTTATATATAATTCCGAAGTGCCTACTACAGTTTGCAAAATCCACATGCTACATAGTGTACAATTCAGTGATTGACCATTTAATAATAACAGGAGCATGTAATTGCAGGAAGCAAAAAACTGCTAAAGGGCATGAAGAATGTAGAGTTAAGGTGCAGCTTACCTTGATATATTCAGTGCTTGTGTGAATTGAGGGTAGTGATGAACCAAGGAAGTTTGTAGTTCTCCATCTATCCACACCTGCAGATTGTGCTGAAGAGTGTACCAGCCTTGATCACCCATCCCAAGGCATTGTAGCCTGAGCTCCGGGCAGTTACTGATGCTAAAAAATTGAAGTTTGCTTGGAAAACCATCATTTGGCAAGCACAAGAGGCCAGGACAGTCTGAGATCTCGAGACGTGCAATTGAGGCCATGTTTATGAGGCTAACTGGTAAATACATGAGATGCCTGCAGTTTTCGATCGCCAAGTCCTCTAACTTTATTAGTTTTGGCAGTCCTTTGGGAAGAGTATGGAGCTCAGGGCAGTGCTTGATGGCCAAGTACAACAGGCCGGTCGGGAGCCAATCATCCGGTAATGATAACAATTGATTGCAGTGACTAATTTCCAATCGACGGATCAAAGCATGGGAACCTTGTATATTGAAAGGAAAGGTTCTCCGTTGCAGTCCACTGAGAGTCAGGGAGGGAAGCAAGGAAACAACAGACCAGGAACTCCAAATCCAGTCATCAGTAGTCTTCACTTCTAGTGATTTGAGTGCTGGGAAGTCAGATAGGCCAGCAAAACTTTGGGATGCTTCTATCACCAACTTCGTCAAAGCAGGAAATTTGTGCTTTAATTGGTCAAGAGCAAAGCGGTCC